TATATAGTTAAAGTGTTACAAAAGGCTATCGCAACACTTTTAGGTGTGTTACTTCAGGTCTCGTTGCATAAAGTCATATGTAACACTTTTCATCATTTTATGCAACATTGAAATGAAGTGTTGCATAAATTACTCAAATGCAACACTAGTTTGCAACAATTTGATCAAGTTCTAATGCAACACTATTTGAAATCAATTGCAACACTCAAGACGTAACTTGAGCAACATTTTTCATATAAATGTAACACATTCGTTGTATCCTTTTGTAACATTTATTTACATTATGTAACACTTTATCACTTCTTTATGTAACAAAGTTAAGGGAACTAGCAACACTTCTGTGGAATTATTATAAGCAACAACTTCCACATTTACGTACCATATAGTTTTTGAATCATTTTCACATTTTGCTTTAATATGCAAACACTTGATAAAATATCAAAACTGGTATACTTTCATAACGAGAGGTATTCACAAATAAAGGACCATATGTCCGCAACTGATCACCATTAACATTTAACAAGAATCAATTGTTATATCTCAAGTACTCACTTCAGTTTGCACAACTGTAATAACTAGTACATTGAAATGTAAAATTATATACAATCAACTAAAAGTCATCTAAGTGAATAAAAATAAACTAAAACATTAAAAGAGCCTATAAGTACTACTGCGCATCACAATCTTCTATAGACATAAACTGTAGCTAGAAGCCCCCTGCTGCGACACCCTGCAAGAGAATGAAAAAAGGTGTGTAGTAAGCAAACAAAAAATGTATCACCGTGAATAGAGTCCAATATAATGGTCTATTAGTAAACACATAAAAATTTGATGATGCGCAATAATGTAAAAGTGACCAATAAAGTAGCTTTGGCACAGATTGCATCATTTCCATGCAAAATCGTATAATATATTGAAGTGGAGAGAGTAATATAAAGTACCTCATAGAGGCACTACTCATTTTAAAGAGTAAGAGAGCTACACATGACCGGTCTCCAAGCGTTCCTATCATAAAATCTTTGAAGTTTCAAATTTCATTGAAATAAAACCATAAGAATAAGAAGAGGACACTTATAATTGTGGCGAGGAAGAACATACATGCATATCATAAATACAGCGTAAATCCCTAGATTATGTTGATATTCAAAGTTATAAAGTGTGCTTGTTAAGCTTAGTAATGCTACATTGTGTATACACTAATTGTAACAACATCCATAGAAAAAACACAGTCCATACCAAAAGAGCCTGCAGTTCATATATAAACTAGTTGAGATATAAAGTGATTTTTCAAAAGTCAAGACTGTATGCAAAATATGCTCCACTCATGTATATTAACAGTTGTGTATACTAACAGTTTTCCAAGGAATCTATCATTCAAGAAATCAAAATTACATTGGTCAAATGGCATATATCATTGTGAGACCCCCCCCCCCCCCCAATCCAATGGTAATTACCTTGGTTTTTCTCCAAGTACCCAACTCTCATCACTTAGATGCCATTTGATGTTCTATTGAATATCTGAAACTTTTGTGGTCATCAGTTAACTAGAGAGAACGTGAGCACATTATTTGAGCTTATAACAAACTTATAATCATTTAATATATGAAATAAACAACATTAGTTCATACTAATATACTATGTAATTCAATGCAATCAAATGTATGTGAAAAAACTTCAAAGAAGTGTAAATATATACCAATAACAGCTAGAAATAATTAAATAGTAAATCAGACATATATAATAAAAATTTCTATTACTTACCAAGAACTGAAAGACCAAAAGAACTCAAAAGTTGGAGTCTTTACTTTATAGTTTTCAAATTATTTCGATTGGCTAACTCTTTTAAAGTTCCATTAGTATAATATTATTGATGCATTATTAGAAGTATAAAAAATCACCATGATGGGAATGAAAGAACTCCCTTAGTTCATTTATGTATGAACAAAATACGTATATAGAAAAGAATACATATATTAAGAAACTATTCTGTGTATTAGTGAGAATTTTAATTAATTTAAGTGGAATGCAAAAAGAATAAGTCAAACTTGCTTATTGGTTGAAAAACTATAAAAAAAAAAATATAGCAAAAAAATAAATATATATCTAATACAACGTATATAGCAAAACAACGCATATTTACCTAAACAGAGAAGTGGAGAGCGGCGATCAAATCAGCAGTGGAGAAGCGGCAGTTTTCTTAGTTTCTTTTTGTCTCAGCCTTCGTCCCCACACTGTTTTGGATATGAAGTATTTAGTACAGATCTAGGTCAATACTAAAAACTTCTTGATTCTTCTAAATCGATATGCAGTTTTCTTCAATGTTGGAGATAGCATAAAAAATGTACTCTTCTTCTTTTAAACTATTCAGGCTCCAATAGACTCATACTAATATCCATCAACCCCTTTAATAGAGACAATGCTATATTTTTAATTCCATGATTCTACCATTAATAGAACTATGAAACACAAACAACATAAATAATAGAAGTATATAACTAGGAGATGCTCTGAGTTATAGAAATGATATTACAGATTAAACCATCTGTTGGAATAAAATCTCATAGGGGCATTTTAACAAACACCTGGAATACATTCAAAAAATGAAACAATATGACATAAACTTTTTCAGGATTTATATCAAATATAAAGCAATTAAACAAACTCTGCACAAAAATATACAATAATCAAACCTTAAGAATGAAAAACAATTAAATAAGCACTCCATAATATATAGCATAAAAGGGAATACTTACTGATAGGGGCGGACCTAAGAAATCCGTCTTGGGGGGTTCAAAATATTTTTTGGGGGGCGAAAATTATTTTTTGAGGGGCGAAAATTATGTTTCCTGTATATATACCCTAGAATCTTTTTTGTTGGGGGCGGTTGCCCCTGGGTCTGTACTACGGTCCGCTCCTGCTTACTGAAATAGGGTCGTTTTCTTAAGCCTTGGGTTCATGGATTGGTAGTACTTAAGCTTCAAATCAAATTTAAAGTAACTAAACATATCTTTAATAAAAAGTGTACAAAAATCGAACTCAAATCATTAAAAAATTAGGCATCTCATCTCATGTATACAAAGCTTAAAAGGCATTTTACCTAATTAGAGATGGAGAGCAGCGGTGTATGATATATGGAAGAACGTTAGTTGCTGACGTGGAAAAACATTCAACAGCGGAGCGGCGGCGATGAAAAGGCTGTGATTGACGATGAAAAATCGGCAATCGATGGTGAAAGCGGCGGACGGCAGTGAAAGAGGGGGGCGGTCAATGGTGAAATAGCGGCGGACGGCGGTGAAAGAGGGGCGGTCGATGGTGAAAGAGCGGCGATCAACTCCAGTTCAGTCAAGTACTCGAGTCCGCTTCTTAGTTCATCTGCGCTCTTGTATTTGACAGTGCTACACCTATTTGTGAAAATACGAAGGATAAGAATAGTGTTAGCACTCAATAAAGAGAGGAAAAATAATTAAAATACTCGGAATTTTGAAAGAGTGTGAGGCTAACACTTCAAACTTGCACATGCAATTTAAATACTCCAAATTTTATATAAAAAGTTACTTTAGCGTCATAGTCAGCTATTATTTCTTTCAAAAATGTAAATTTATGATGTTAATGGTATAATTTAAAATATTTTATAATTCATGAAAACACAATTAACATTTTTAGCTTGCATTAGGAAATAAATAATGTTACCCTCAATCTATATAATTGCAACTCTTTTAATTTTCTATTTTATATTATGCAAATAATTCCATTAGTTTACATTTTTTAAAGAAATAATACATGAAAATGGTGCAAAAATAACTTTTTATTTAAATTTTAGGGTATTTAAATTACATATGCAAGTTTGGGATGTTTACATCTCACCCCTTCAAAGTTTGAGATATTTTTAAAGAGTATTTAGGTTTGTATTTAATTATATTTATCGAATTACTTTAAATAAATACGAAGTAAAATTTTACTTTGTCAGATCTTTATCAGCTAACGAAATGCAAAATTGTTCAATAATATGACTTAAATATGAAGTATAATTTATAATTGGTTTTGTATAGAATGCAACACTTATAAAGTAATGTTGCATAATACTACCTCCGTCCCTCTATGTTTGGGACAAAGAGGTGTGGTGGGATTTTTAAGAAAAAGTAGATATGTGTGGTTGATATTAAATTGATAAAGTGTGAATAGTGTAAGAATGAATTGTAGCCACCCAAACATTACCAAATATGGTATGGGACAAACTTAATGGGACGGACGAAAAAGGTAAAACAGGACAAACTTAGGGGGACGGAGGGAGTACTTGGTAATATGTAACACTCTATAGCATGTGTTGCATAAGTCTATGATTCACGTGTTTTTTGCAACATATAAAAGCAAGTGTTACGTAATTCTTAATTTAAATGTTATATGTAACAAAAAATAAAGTGTTACAATTAAAGTGTTACAAAAAGTCAGTTTTGTTGTAGTGGTTACTCCTTGTTAGCATGGGGTATTTGAGGGTAACCGAGCTCTCTCCTTCTTCATTGTTGCTTGAGTGAGGATTCCTAGTCATGGTTGTGTGATCACTCGACCTGAAGCTCTGATACCAAATGTAGGATCTTAACACTCAATATGATCACACAAGCTAGTAATAATATACACAGGAATAAGGAAGAAAACACACAGTATTTTTCAATGGTGTGAAGCTCTATATGGCTTCATCACCAGTTTATTCCATTTATAAGCAAACGAAAGAATAAGAGAGTGGTTGCTACATTTCAGCAACTCACCCATGATCTACTCCATTATTTTTACCAATTCAAAACCTATCCATATTCCTATAAAATAGCTACGCATAACAACTCAAAATAAAACTTATTTTCCTACGTAAACTAGTTTCGAGCAATAACCTATTTATGCAAAATATGTAACAATAAAACAAGTTTAATCAACACAAACCTAGCTCCGGACTGCCTGAGCCGGAATCCGGTGATGGAATCGATCCTCAACAGATCTATTTAAATAGTGCCTAAATTATGATGAAATACAGGAAGACTCGGGCAAAAAAATAAAAGTTGAGTAAAGAGATCGAATTGAAGTAGCTTCATCATGTATATGACAAAATCCATATGAAGTACAGTAATTATGAAATAGGGAATTATAAAAGTGCTTTAAGATGTAGAGGACATATAGATGAATTAGAGAATTGGATAAGAAACGTCTATAGCAAGTCCACACATTCCCAGCGAGCCATAAGGGCCATCAGGATTCCTTTTGATCTTCATAAACCCAGCCTCACCCCATGCTTCACCCCATGAGTTCTTGATCAGCCAATATTTCGTATTGCTATTCTCATCAGTTCCGTACCCGACCACCGCCACAGCATGGTCCAGGTCATCCCGCCCGTGCACGCCCCGGCAGCCATCACCCCTCATATCTAAATCATAGTCGAAGATTCCTCCGTAGTATAGTTGGAAGTCCTGTCCCGAGCCTTTGATGCCCACCGACACCGGCTGCCTCGCCACCGCCTCTAACAGATTCTCCTCGCCGGTGGTTGCAATGTACCCGGAGATTTTGGCCGACGCAGCTCCGGCGGATTTGCTTCTGTTGCAGACACCATGCTTTAAGTTTAAGCCGTTATAGGGATAAGATATTTCGCTGGCGAGGCCATTTTTCTTGATGAAATCGTACGCCGGTCCCATGAGGCCGCCTTGCAGCCGGCGTTTACCCTATCGCAGTCGAGGAGCTCTTGTTCCGAGAGAGAGAGCAGCTTGCCGGTTTTTATCTTGTTCAGCCCCTCCACTGCTGCCGCTGCCGCAAATGCCCAGCAACCACCTGCATGTATAAATCTATCTAATATTAACAGATAAGGTTTTAAAAAGCGGCCCGCTACCGCTATAGTGGTCGCGGTAGGGGCCGCTACCGCTACAGCCCGCTATTCCGCTGTGAATTCCAAATCACGGGAAAACCCGCTACGCCGCCCGCTATTGACATTTCCGGCAGTACGTTACGAACGGGTTGATGTGTAAATGTGTCTATGTTGTGTAAATGAACTCTTAATGTTATAAGTGTTCAAACAAATATTCACAATGTTTGTATTAACTTCAACACTCATTAAATATATGTTTTGCGCATTTGAAAATATTTCACACCGCTGCAATCGCTACAGGCCGCTACCGCGATGACCGTTGCCGCTACGGCTATTTAAAAATTAAAACCTTGACATATACACACTCTATTTTTTATGACGACAACTTAACACACTTAAATTGCACAGAGTAATAATATGCGTGTAAACTATTTTACCACCCCTATGTAAAATAATTTACATGATACATTGTAAAATATTTTTAAAAAGTGCCATAAAGTTTACATCACCAAACTTTACATCACCAAACAGTGCAAATAGTTACCTCCCTAAACTTTACATGTAAAGTGTTTAATTTACACCTTACCAAACGCTCCCGAAGAGTATTATATCTACCGGTAATTGTCCTGAATAAGTATAAAATAATAAGAATTGGAAGTTTCACAATAGGAATTTCTTATGGTTTATTCGCGAAATAGGAGTTATTATGTTGACTGGTCTGATCCATTTCTTTTACAATTTAGTATAAAATTATTTGATTTTACACTCTAATTTCTTTACAATACTTTTAGAAATTGCATGGACTAACGTACTACTTCATAACAAAGAAGTGCAGACAATTTATTAAACCATTTTGCTTTATTCCTTACAATTGTTTTGAGTAATATTGACTTCATACAAGGTAAAATTTTGAGCTAATTTACTGAGCTTTATGTACATGTCTAAACTATTTTATCTTTATAAGAAACAAAAAACCATAAAACACGCATGGATTTTGTAATTTATAAGAAAATTTGCAAATGCACCGTTAGAATTTATCATTATTTGTAATTTGACCCTAACGTTCAATTCCCTAATATATATTCCCGTTAAAATAAATTCTCTGTCATTGGTCTTATTCTCGATCTACTATTAATCTTAACTGCAAAAGAAAAAGGAAATACCGACCAGAATAATTTATAATATGTTGAGTAGTAGTAGATGGATAAATTATTATGCTTTAAAACAATATTAACCCAATATTTCTTTTAAAATCATCAATACATAAATAGAAATTTAATTTTTGAGAAATAATATATTTTATTATATTTTCATAAAATAATAATATTAAAAAATTATATAACATAATTAATATGATATTGGTGATGTTGGGAGGCGGCAATGGCAATTGGGAAGGCATCTATCTTTTTTAATATTTTTTATGTGTTTCAACTATTTTTTATTAAGTTTTAAATTTTGTTTTTATCAACTTTTTTTAAATTTTAATTTATAAATATTTTATTAATTTATTATCATTTTCTTATGATTTTTTTACGACTTTCTTATGAATTAAAACATTTTATTATGAATTAAAACTTTATGAATTAATAACCTTAGGCGTATTTAAGATAGGAAATTAATGTGTTAGTCCTATTTAGGCTTTATTATTCCTATTTGTGCGATTAAGTTTCCATTTATTTCTATTTAGGGCAATTTGTTTTTTTAGACGTACACATGTAGTACGTATGTAGTATATTAAAATAACAAGTTTTTGTATTCGTGGATAAAAACACCAATGTCTTATAGAAACTTATAAACACCAATGATTGTTAGGATATTTTTGGTATATTAAATGTGTTGGTGTAACACAAAACAATATATTGTTGTACCCTATGCTTTTAGTCTTGTTCCTTTATTACCTCCGTTAAAGTCCAAGCAGCGAGTCCCGTCATTGTATGTATTCAGCCGTTGGTTTATTGATCAAACTTTATTCCTTTTGAGAGCATTTAATGTAGTTTTTCACATTTAATAGTTTCATTTGATTCAGAATTTTAAATCCGTTCTTCGTGGTGCCTAGCGAGCTTAATCATCGTTTGAAGTATCTTCAACTCAAAATAATACTTCCTCCGTTTTTTAATTCTTGCAACATTGTGATTTTTGTACTATTCACAAACCTTACTTTGACTATGATTTTCAACTAATATACATAATCAAATTATTACGTATAAAATGTAATTGAATTTCTGTCAATGGGAATTTCCAAAATATCAACTTTTTATAATGTTTACTAATACATAATTAAATATAATTACAGTCAAAGGTGTGCGTTGGCAAACGTGAAAGTCAAACTGTTGCAAAAATTATAGAACGGAGGATAGTACTATGTAATAGAAACGGTTGTGATTGGACTTGAGTTGCATGAATGTTGTTACAAATCAATTTTGTTCATCTTGCTTGTTGCAAGAAGGTACGTGTCATTATAAATAGAAACCATCTCTTATGCAACCTCTATTGAATTGAGATGCCCCGCTTGAAATGCAAAATTTTCGCCACACATTAATTAATATAAATTAGATGCTCATATTCAAATAAATTGAGTACTCATTAAATAATGCAATAGAGGAAAAATTGACAAGAATAATCCCACCTTTCACCTTTTCACCATGAGGTGCAAAAGGTGGGATTATTTTGGGATTATTTAAAGGTGAGATTATTATGAGAAGACCAGTGAAAGGTGGGATTATTCTTGTCAATTTTTCCATTAAAAAAATCTGAAAGTTACTAAAACTACATCCGTCCCACTAATATTGAAACGGAAGGAGGTGACACAGTTATTAAAAAAAAAGAGTTTATCTGGTTGATATTAATTGATAAAGTAAGAATAAAGTTAGAATGATTTAGAGCCACACAAACTTTACCAATTTTGATATGAGACAATTTTAGTAGGATTTCCCAAAAAGACAAAATGAGACAATATTAGCGGGATGAATGAAGTATTAGATAAAGCAAAACAACTTATTATTCAAGCACTTTGAACAAAAGAGGACTAAAAGCACCGATGAATAAAAAATGGTGGATCTGCATTATTCTTCCTTACTCACTCTATATTATCATCTGTATTAACACATGAAGTATAATACTACAATATATTACCATTAAACTTTTAAAAAATTTGAGCCTCTTTAATTAGTGGTACATGTTGTATAGAATCAGCTTAACTTGTTCAAAAAACTTCCCCGGTGTTATGTTAAGTTGAGGGGATCTAATATCGCTAGCTATTTAACTAGCTTCGTGGAACTTTTGAAAACGTCAACAAGCTAAGTAGGCGTTACTTGGCATACAATGATGACATTGATTAAAGTTACATATATTACATGTAGTGAACTCTATCCATGAGATTCCAATAGCCGCATAGGATCTTTTGATCGTAAATTTAAATAATATGTCAGTAGAAACATTTAGACGTAGTTATGACTTATGATATTCATTTGTTTCATTTTTTAAAGAGTTAATTAAGATATCAAAGTGAAATAATATCAATAACTAAACTTCTATTTACGCATTTTACTCTCAAGTTTGCACATATGTACAAGTTAATTATACGTAGTACTTTTGACTGATGGTGCTTATCCGGTACACTAATATAAAATGTTTAGTTTTTTACACTTCCTCCCAAAAGGTAGGATATTCTTATGTATTATTGGGTGATTCAAACAAAAATTAAATTACAAATAAAAAATTGGGCACTATCCAATCGCGCAACGCGCGTTATAAAACTAGTTCATTTTAATGTTATTGGTTGATCGGTGTAAGTAGCAGAAAATAAAAATAAAAATTCAATTTGACGTAACAATTAAAATTGGCATTATTGTTATTTTAATAAAAGAAAATAAAATAAATAACCAAAAAATAGTACTAGTACTCCGTATTTCTAAATTTGATAAAATATACTCCCTCCATCCCGCTAAGATTCTCTCATTTTTCCTTTTTGATCCGTCCTAGTAAGGTTATCTCATATCAAATTTGATCAAAGTTGTCTGATTCTAAATCATTTTTATTTTATTCTTACTTTATCAATTCAGTATCAATCACATAAACCGGCCTTTTTAAATAAAGTGTGAGCCAGTTGTCCTTAATGGAATGGAACTAGTAATATTGAAATTTTCATAAGGTATTCCTAAATTAATTACATACCACACTGGTCTTGGTCCTTGACTTCAGTTACAGCACCTAGTTCCCTCCAGTCCACACTGCCGTTCTCCAGCAAAGTGTTGTGCCCAGTTGTTCTCTCCACCTGATTTGAGTCGAAGGCGTACGACCCTCCGGGGTTCTCCACCATCTTATAACCATTTGCATACAACATGCGAAACTCCTCATTTGTCAAGTCTGCAAATTTGTTAGTTCCAAGCCTGTAACTCTTGCCGGGCATGGCATTAAATGCTTCAATGAGATTCACGTTATCTTTGAATACGCTAAAACGGTATTCTTCTTCACTTGCAAGTGTGTAACTCTTTCCTGTTGGGAAATTGACGTGAAAGAATAGGGAAAATCCCTTGTGTGAATTTCATGATGAAGCTTCGTATATATACAAAAGTATGGCCGAAGAAAACAAACCCTTGGCCCAAAAATAAATGTAAGCTATGCTAAAATTACATTAAATACAATACAAGCCCAAGTATGGGATTTAACACCCCCCCTCAAGTTGGAGCATGAGGATTAAAAATGCCCAACTTGCTAAGAAGAAAAAGAAACTGTCGTTGTCCCAGAGCTTTAGTAAAAATGTCAGCAAGTTGCTCCGTTGTGGTGACATGACGGGCGACAAGAAGACCAGCTTGAATAGCATCGCGGATGTAGTGACAGTCCACTTCAATATGCTTAGTCCGTTCGTGAAAAACAGGATTATGAGCTATATGAAGAGCAGAACTACTATCACAAAACAGAGTCATAGGAGTAGTATGTGCAATGCCAAACGAAGATAAAAGACCCTGAAGCCATTTC